AGAAAAGTGTTTTCTGATGACGTCGAGAAGGAATTAAAACAATATGTTCAAGTAGCTGGTTTAACGCCAAAAGAAATGAAAATGGCTTATAAACTTTGAGTGTTAAATTCGATTACATGCCCTATATCTTGGCAAGAGAATGGGCGTGCCGAAGATGACTTTTTTTGTTGAATTTTGAAAAAAAGACTCCCATCTCTTTCATTACGAAAGCCAGAGGCAAAAAGGCTTAGCACGAGCTTCTAGCTTCATTCGAAGAAATTACTTTCAAATATTTGAAAATTGTGCTCGGAAGACATAATTTTCAATTTCACAAAATTCTGAACATGGACGAAACGGGTGTTACGTAAGTGCAGAGGCCAGATTGAACTGTTGCTCGTACAGGAGATAAACAAATTGCTGCACTAGTTACTGGAGAAAGGGTCTCTCTAATAACTTTGGCTTGTGCTGTTTCTGCAATTGGAAATTATTTCTTTAGGTTTCCAAGGATCAAATACTTTAAGCGCTTTATAGATTATGCGCGTGCAGATTCTGGTGGAACTGCAAATAAATGTGGGTGAACGGAAGAAGCAAATTTTTTATGTTATTTTTAAATAATTTCCATGAGCACGCGAAAAGCCCTCCTGAGAAACCATGTCTGCTGCTTCTTGATGATCATGGCTCCCATCTTAGCTTAGAAGGGCTCAATTTTTTAGATCCAATGTAATCGCCATGTTGTACTGGCTTATTGTTAACATTGGCTCCAGCCCTAGTAGAAAATTTTCAAGAAAATAGATAAATCGTTTTTGATTTAAACTTTATTGTTGGATAATGTGAAGGACGTTTAAGAGAATGGTGCAGGTCTCATTTTCGTTGAAAACTGATTTTTCGAAAATTCCAAACATTCACACTTTTTTCGGCAGCTTCCTACAACTTCAATTATGAAGATAGATGTTTTCCCTTTATGAAATCTGTTCCTTAAAGATCGCTTTTGAAATAATGTCATGTACATTTTTTCGAAAATTTGAGTACTTTTCGCGTTATTGTGCATGAAAATAAGGGGGAGAAAGTTCGTGATGTTTTAGCACTACTAGTTCTTTCTATAATACAAATTTTTCCACACCAATTAATGTCTATTTTTCATCTAAATTAACCCGCGACAACCAACGTTCCCCGTCCAACAACCCCGTCCAACCCGGAGTCGGGGCTGGTTGTCTAAAGAAATTACTCCAACAGAACTTTTTTCTGACTAGCAAAATGCTGCTATTCACTCAAATTGGGGGAGGGGAATGTAGCCTCGGGTTCATATTACGCGATGCATTAATATCTAAAAAAACTAAACACAGACTCTTAAAAATAAAAATAAAAATCTAAAATCATGACAACCTCTCCCGGTCTCTTCTAATTAATATATTTGTAGAAGTATACGAAATTTAAAAACGTGCTTTTTATCTTTTATCTGGTATTAATTATTGAAATAAAATGCCTTTGAACAAATTATGTTACCTCAACTTGGCACTTATTGAGGTGATTTTATGCCCCTAATTTATTGGGCGTTATTCTATGCTGCTCGATGCGTGGTACATTTTCACCCTCACTTCATTATTGTTTTGTAGAAAGGAATGGATCGAACAGTATCACAAATTTTAAACCTATCTAATTAATATTTTTAAAGTTATAAAGTAAATATTGGAACTCTGGTAATTATTTAATTGAAGATTGGCAAAGATAAACAATGTGATCAAAAATAAAACGTCCAAAATGGTGTTATGGTGAGGTCATGTTTTTCATGGATGGGTCTTGCACCTCTTGTTTCGAGTGGCACTATCACGGCAAAGCCCTACGTTGATTTTTTAAACACCTTCTTTCTTCCCACTGTTGAAGAGCGATTCGGGGATGGCGATTGCATCTTTCAACACGATCGAGCACCTGTTCATACTGCACGGCCTATGGCGGAGTGGTTACGCGACAATGACATCCCTGTAATGGACTGGCCTGCACAGAGTCCTGACTTGAATCCTATCGAACACCTTTGGGATAATGGAACGCCGATTTCGTGCCAGACCTCTCCTACATCGATACCTCTCCTTAGTGCAGGACTCTGTGAAGAATGGCCTCCCATTTCCCAAGAAACGTTCCAGTACCTAATTAAAAATATGCCTGCGGGAGAGGAAGCAGAGTAGCGCGTTCGCATTCGGGAGACCCGGGTTCAATCCCCGTGCCGGCCATCCTGACCGGTGGTTTCCCTCGGTCATCCAGGCAAATGCTGAGATGGTTCTACTCAAAAGCCACGATTTCAAAACCGGTATCGCTAGCCGAATTCGTTAACTGCGTGAAGTCACGAAGTTAAGCGATTTCAAGACATTGCGAGTTCGTGGTAAGAACTCCGGGATTCAACGGCGCCGAGGCCAATTGCCCTTGACGGGACATACAATGACTAAATACCACTAATCAGGTGCAATATGTATCCTCCAACGCTTCTAGTATAGACAAAACAACATAGTTTAAGGCAATGGTTTTCTGAAAGGTGCGACGGCACGAAGTCTCTGCGGCACAAAGTGACCCCGGTATACGGAGTTTTTTAAATTTCCAAACCTCATTGCATTGCCCCTTTTTCTAATGAACATTGCCAACATATATTCTCCCTGAATGAAATATAAATATATACGGCAATCATGTGTTGCATTATTCACCTCCTTAACTACAAAATACTGTTATCTTTGAGTATGTTACTTTCATATTATAGTTATATATCGTTATGACGAAAATAACGAGAAGAAAATAATTTCTTCAGATATAAATATTAATTTGGACGGGAAAGAAACTATTGCGGATTGGGAAATTTGAGATAACGAAAGTACTTCTTATTACTACAACGGAGATTGTGTCTGAACTGTAAATATTCAAATAATTGTGGTTGTACTAATTGAAAAAAAAAATACTGATCAATCCGAATATTTCGAACTGCTCTCTGGTAAACATAGTGATTTTTGCTTTCTGAACACAGCTACTAGTAAGTAGCTTTTCTTATTTAGGAGTTTCGGTTTATTGTAATATTATATTTTTAATATTGTAAATAATAGAAACAACAACATTTTCAAGGGTCCGAAAAACAATTCGATTTATAGTGATTTTCGATATTGACATCCAACTGTACAAGGTGTCCACTATGGACCACCCCCAAAACGTCTAGACGGCTCAAGCAGTTTTCGATGCAGTTTTCGCTGAACAATGCAGAATCATGGGGCAAGTTGCATGCCGTAGAGAAATTGTATATAATCTTTTTAGTTTTCGAGAAAATTAATCATCTTTCATATTATAGACCATTTCTCTAAGGCATGTTATTTGCCCCAAGATTGCGCTTTTTAAGCGAAAACTGCCTGCGAAAGCTTAGAATTTACGGTGGCATAATTGGCGGGACACTCCGAATATTGAATATAAATAAACTTTTGCAGCTGTATATTACGCTTCCATTGACGCCAATCATTTGGTTAGAAATACGAGTGCTCAAGGCCGAGCATGAATTTTAAAACCGATTTAGAAATCCTGTTTTTTCTTATTTAACAAATCCAAGATTTTAAGAATCCGCTCTTGAAGTTCACTGTCACAAAGCAAATTGAATGGTTAGGAATTAAATGTGCATTTTGGCTGTAAATAATTTTACTTATTCTTTTTATCCTAATGTGAGTAAATAATTAAACTTATTAATTAGTTGAAGTTATTTATTATTATCACAAAAAGTACAAATTTTTAATCTACTTGAAATTTATTTATTTTTTTGTGAAATTCAAACATTTGTGAAAATATTTTTACATATTTATATTATCGTAAACGTTTGTGGAAAAATTGGGAGCCTTAAGCCGTCTGCTTAACCTTCGAGCGATCGCACGGGCAGTATAAATGGCGCTTTTGAAAAGAAAACAGCGGTGCGCGTTCATGTTTGAACTTAGCATGATGGGAAGCCAGGTATTCTCTACTTATGTATTGAGACACAATATGGCGGTAACATCTTCTCCAAGACCTAATCACATTTGCGCCAAATTCGCGCAAAAGGGACCAACGCCTTCAGTCCTTCCTCTACACGGCGTAAACACCGCCACGCGATCGCGCCTGTTCCAGTTTTTTTCACGCGTGTGATGAGTATGTAATAATATTTTGTATATATTTTTGTAATAAAAATAGCATAATAATACTCTTATGCTAATTATTGTGTAAATTACATAAATTGGTTATTCATTAGTGTAATATTAAGGTGGATTATAGTAATCTACATTTCTAATACTTACTATTTTAGTTTTATATTTTTTAGTATTATAACATATTTAGTTACCTACACATTTTCTTTCTATCTGTCATCAGTGTTTTGTGAAGCCAAAGTAGAAGACTGATTTGCCAAATTGTCTCCAGAAATTTCATTTCTGGAGAATAATTAAAATTGCTTGAATGAACTTTCAATCTACTACAATGTCCAGTTGATGATATTTAAGAAATTCCACATGACAGACGACCAAGAGAAGCTGCAACATAGAGAAAAGGGAGGGTGTGCGTCGGCGGCAAAACTTCTGTCCCGCGACCGCGCATGCGCCTCTAAACCGCGCGAGCGCCCGAAGGTTAAGAGAAAACCACCTCTGATTATACCCACGTGCACAAAATCGAGATGAGCACACTCAGGGAAAACATTCCTCGAGATTTGCTAAAAAAATAGAAAATTAAATAGATTCCCTAAAGTAAATAGAATTACTAAAATTATAATAGAATACCTTTTTTGTGCAAATACAAATTAAAAAAAGTTGCTTAGGGAATTGACCATATATTTTTTATGTAAATACAATTTCAATTTCTTTGAAAATTAATGAGTGTTAATGTAAATCATGTTTTGACATTTTAAAACATACCTGATGTTTAATTTTTATTTACAAACGTTGTAGTACAATAGTTTATTCGTTTAATAGTTACTTTACTAGTACAAACATATTTTACGATCGCGTAAAATCATTAGATGGATTGTCAAACATCATCTTTAGTTGAATGGGGCGGGGCCGGGCCGTGCCGGTGAGTTCCGTGGAAGGAGGGTGGGAGTGCTCGTTGCGGGGCCGGGCGGGGCGGCGGGCGGCGCCCCGCAGCGAGCGTGGCGCGCGGCGGCGCGGGCGGGCGGGCAGTGCGCTTGCGGCTGCCGCGACGTGAGCACGGAGCGCTTGCGTCGCCGCGCGCGAGGTCAAGTGCGGTGGAGCGGTGTTTGCAGTGCGCGCGTGTGCCAGCTGTGGGAAGACGCGTCTGGGGTACGCGTTTTGATCCCTTCGGCTGCCGAGACCCGTCCGCGGAAGGTGTCAGGTGCTGCTTCGGTTCGCTTCAACCCGGCGTGCGCTGACTTGCCGATATGTCACCGTCGCTGAAGGTAAGTCTTGGCGCAGGGATTTTGAGTTTAACGGAGTGTTCCCTAATAATTTTATTGCATTGGATATCTGAATTGACAGCTCACTTAGAGCTCGATTCGGTCTCATCTGAAATGTTTTATGTAATGGATATTCATAATAGTTTATTAGAAAGTTACGGTTAAAAACAACGGGTTAGTCAAAAGGGATTGAAAACGAACAAGCAAGTATCTTTTGCTTGAGGCTAGTGTTCGCAGAGTTTACTTGTATTTTGAGCCGGAGTGAGTTGCCAGCGGTGCTTTGCATGGACGTGTCACTTGGGTGGTTGACGAGGCAAAAGGAGCTTTGGCTTTGATGACGAGGCGGCGGAGGGGCGTAGGAGTGGAAGTGAGGCGGGCGACCCGCGGGGGCGAGGGCGGCCGCGTGCTGCCAGGATCGATCGCCGGCGAGTGCCACGCGCCGCGCGTCCCCAGCGCGCGTGCGTCCGCGCCCTCCGCCGCTGCGTCTTTCTCCTCGGGAGGGAATGCATGTGTTTGGGCACATGGATGTCTTTATGGATAATATGATTCTGCGTATGACTGTGCGCGCATGCGTACGTGCTTGTTTGTGTGTGACGTCTTTGTAAGTATTTGTGTTAAGTGTGTATGTGTGTACATTCGTGTGTGTATTCGTATGACTTTGTGTATTCGTGCGGGTGTCTTTCTGCGTGTATACATGTGGCTTTGTGTACATGTGTATGTGTGTGTGTGAGAGAGAGAGAGGGGGGGAGCATACGCGCGCAGTGGTATCGAACGAGGCGCGTGGCGGCGCCTGCAGCATCAGCAGCATCTTCTCGTGCGGTGTTCAGGAGTGCGGCACTGGAGCCTAATCAATACTCGGGGGCAAATTGCCCTCGCTGCCTCGCGTCGCCGCCCCCGCCGCCGCCGGAGGGATGTGCGCGTGGGGAGCGATCGCCCCCGCCGCCCCGCCGCCACGCGCTCCCTGCCCGCACTGCGACGCGGCGTTGCCCCCGAAGGCACAAAAAGGAGAACGAAAATAGCGCTTCGCACGTGGCCACGCGCCTTTGAGGCGCCCTCGCCGCTCACCGACTCCCTTTGGCGAGGGCTCCTCTCCGTGAATATGCTTAGTGAAGTATACGGCGTTGTGGAGACGGGAAGGATAGTTGAGGAGAAACGCATCAAAACGTGTAAATTCAAATACGAAATAAAACGCGTGGTTTTTAAGTGTTCATGTCTCATATTTTAGCATTGTCTGGTATGAATTACGTAATTTTCTTATTAATTAAATGAACTTGCTATTATTTAGTTCGGTTTATCTGCGGTGTACGTTCAGAAAGTTATAGTTAGTGATGGGTATAGTATAACTTAAAATATGTTAAGAATGAGCTTCCAATTAAATTGAAATGAATCGCTGAATGTTTAGACATTCTCATCTGTTCACCAATTTCTGAACTCTTCGACATCACTTTACAACATCATTCACCTCCTTCGCCTTACTGCTAAGTGAGTGGTCTAAATGAAAGCAGGCGTTATGAGAGGAAATCAACCGGCGAAGTCATACGTTTGGATCCTTTTATCGATATTCTATTTGTATTGGAACGCCAAGGCCCACTTTATTTTCAGAGTTTATAAAGAAAGATTTTCGTAAGTATCCTATTTTATCGAGACCGATATGAAATAATTTTCGCCCTCGTAATTGGTTTTGAAATTAACTGAACGTTCCTTAAACATTTATTTTCTTGAACTTTGTGAATTATGAATAACGTTTTGAAACATTTTGATTTGAACATGGCTAAAGCTTCTTGCAGATATTGAAACACAAATTATAATGCGTGACAGTTTGTAATGAAAATTCTTCAAATCGTGGTCCCCAGTCGTTATTCAATCCGAAACTTTCGTGGTTGTATAACGTAATTCACTTGAGTAGTGCAGCGACATCAAGGCCGCGGCCTGCGGCGAAGAAAATGACTTGCTACGAACACGGCGCGAGATCAGGAAGCAGAAACACGTGCAGGCCACGCGCGTTTCAGATGTGATTCGGTTAATTTTGTACATGAATATAAAGGCTTTCGCCTTCCTGTTGATCTGTGAATAATTGTGTGCCGCAAACTGGAGCTCGTCAGTTGCTGTTTTTCTTGAACTGAACGCGCAGGCCCCGCGACCTTCCAAGGTCGTAGTAGTGGTTGGAAATTTGCTCCGCGAGGTAGCTGATACGCTGGGTGAGAAGCGAAACTCATCCAAACAAGTAGCACATCTTTCTTGCGAGTTTTCGTCGAGTCGTTTTTGTTCGGTTTCAGATTACGTATTGTGGAAATGCGATGCAGTGAATGTGGATATTTTAAACGTTTTGCATGGAACTTACGGTGTGGACAATATGTCTGTATGTAATAGTAGCAATGGTGTGATAATCATTCTTCGTTTATAATTTTGATGTGAAGTTAATAACGTAAATTTACAATGTTTTGCCTTCCATCGGGGTATTAGGCACTAGGGTTTTGTTGTTTCTGCGCGGTTTCCTTGTTCTGTATTAGCGCAATACTTGTAATGCCAGTTTAAGAGGCGTTGAAATATTTTTGCGTTGGGCAGTAAAGACCAGCTAAACACATCAGTAGGATTCGGTAATGTTTTTTTTATTCCAGCATTATAAAAGAACCTTTTCTGTGGCAAGAAATCGTTCATAATCGGGCATTTTACGGTACAAATGATAACGTATTAGATTTTATGCCATGAATGATTGCGTCATCACACATTCAATCAAATCTTAGCGAGATAATCGGGGGAGGTAGAACTAATCGGAACAGCCGACCACCGTCGCACGATGTCAAATACCCGAGTCGTCACAGGGAAGTTGTTTTGCAAAATTAAGTTTGATTCTCTTATAAATGTATAATGCTGTTTTACAAAAAAAATATAGTATGAAACTCGTTTATAATATTGCTTTATTACATTCGTACACATTTGAAAACTAGCTTCTTAAGTCGCTCGTTTTCAAAACATGTACTCATATAATATAACTTAACATTATAAACTAATTGCATAAACCAATATAGAGTGTTCGCTGGTACCACAATCTCTCTGCATAACAGCATAATACATACTACTTCCTTTTAGAGAGAAGTCTGCCTGTCTTAATATCGTGAACAACTCCATGCTTCAAACAAATTATTTTATAACCTAAGAATTGACATTCCTTTACCATTCCAAAGATTATTGAAATATTTTTGTAGGCTATATGAAAATATTTAACCTTCATCGTTCACTTTGCAGTTTTGTTACTTCCACTTTGACCTTTTGAATAACTTTTACTCAGAAATTTGTTGGGGTTCCCAGTTGGACTGTCGCGCAGCGTTGAGGGTCGAGTGCGGGCGCCTAGTTCATAAAGGGTGGAAAGCGACCTTGAATGCGTTCCCCTCTCGTCAGGAAGAAAACAGCGGCACGGCTACGACTACAAACGTCGCGTTGGGAGTTACACAATAAAAAAAATGAGTTTCCGAGAATAGAGTTTGAGTACACTCCCAAACTGTAACTATTTTTTTTTAGGAGGAGGAGGAGGAAAGGACTGTTCTATTGTAAGCTTGAACATATTTCAAGAGTTATATTTTAAATGGGCGGAATATGAACGAGAGCAGATTATGTATCATACAGATAAGTTTCAATCACAAACTGATTTCTTCGGTTGGGGTAAAATATTTTCTTGCTGTTTAGTTCTCTTTCTGCTCACTGTTCGGGCCACCATGTCGCTGATTTGCAAATCCAGTGAACGTGACCTCCACTCGACAGCGTGATTTCTTCGCGTTCTTTGCGTTGAGGCAACCTGATGCAGTTTGAGCAGAACTTGTTAGGTTCCTAGCTTAGTTCTCGTTTCAAACGCAAGTTTCGTTTTGTTTGTCATTCTTGAAAATTGTCGCTGTTCGACCATATTGTTTTGTATTTTGCACACGTCAGTTATAATACTTTAATGCTCCATAGTCGGTTTCACATGCCAAAGTTGCCCTAATTCTCTATGTAAATAATTCATTTTTCTATCTAAGACAAAATTCAGGTGTCTTTAATAAATCGTTTGAACATTCGTGGAGCTTTTTCGTATAAAATATTTCTGAATGTTTAAACAGTAAATTCAACTTAAACATTTATTGATATTATGGAAGGGAGGATTGCTTGCACGATGCTTAGCCGTTCCTGGCGTACATGGCGGAACCATCTCTACTTGAAGACTTTTATATGATTTACTACGTTTTTAGGTAATAAGATAAAGATCTTTTTTCTGTAATTTTGCCAATTCGTGGTGCATTAATTAATAGCAGTGGTTGTTTATGGGTGATTTGGCCATGCGCGTGTGTGTGGTGTGTGCGGCTGGGTGCGGCGAGTCCGTCCGAACGGCGCAGGGTGAAACTCGCTTCCTTTCGCGTCGCCGCTGCGGAGCGCTCAGGTGGGCGGAGGCGTGGGCCGCGGGGCGGGAAGGCGGCGGTCCTCCGAATAGCGCAGTGGGCGGTGACAAGGCCGCCAAGCTGGGCCGGGCCGGGCCGCGCCGCGCCGCGCCAGCGGGCGTGGAAGCAGTGGAGCTGGAGGGCGCTGGCGGCGGCCGGCGAACGCAGACAATGGCGTCTTGGGTCGCCCCCCCCCCCTTGCATGCTCCCTTTCCCATCAAACGTTGTTACTTACAGAAAAGCAACTATACGACAAAGAGAAAGAAGTTGTGATTTTAATCAATTAAACTATTCAGTTTCTTTCATTTCAATTAAACTCATTTTTGTTGTATCATTTACAGTATTCGAAATTTTCCGGATGAAATCTCTTCCTTCACCCATCTTGTAGGCACGCCAATGGTTCGAGGTCACCCTTGCCATATTTTGCTTCTTTTTTGCTTCAGCTCAAGATGAGATTGATACTTCATTATGCATTTCGCTT